TGTATCAGAAGTATATATTAGATCCAAATCTGAGCATTTTTACATTCCGATCACGTTGAAGGGAAAGAACCGACAAGCAGATGTGAAAGCACTGGTAGATTGCGGTGCATCGACATTATTTATTAGCGAGAAGTTTGTGAAGAAGAATGAAGTCCGGTGCCATAAATTATTAAGGCCCATTCCGGTTAAAAATATCGATGGCTCGTTAAATGCTGCTGGATCGATGACTCATTACGCTGAATTAGGTCTAAAGATCGGTGACCATGTTGAAGACCAAGCAGCCTTCATGGTTACGGACTTAGGAAGCGATGATGTCATTATCGGCATAGATTGGCTAAGATATCACAACCCGGAAATAGATTGGAACGCTGGACGTTTTGCACTTTCTCGTTGCCCGGTTAAATGTATTACTAAAAAAGAACAAAGACAAAAAAATAAAGAAAAAAGAAAAGAACAAAAAAAGATAGAAGAAGTGCCAGATCTGATTCCCACAGAAGAGGATGACGAAGAAGACATGGCGATGAAAAGGGCGACAGTTGAGGAAATAGAAGACGAAGAGTATCCTGGAGAATGGATCAAGTATAAAGCCTCGGTTGCCACGGAGCAGAAGGTTGCAGAAGAAGCAACGAAGGTGAAGAAATCGGTCGAAGAGATGGTTCCCGATTGGCTTCACGAGTACCTGGGAGTTTTCTCAGAAGAAGAATCTAAGCGCTTCCCTGAAAGAAAGAAATGGGATCATGCGATAGATCTTAAAGATGATGGCGATCTTCCGCCGAATGCGAAACCCTACCCCTTATCACCCAAGGAGATGGACACTTTGAAAGATTGGTTAAAAGCCGAGACTGCACTGGGACGTATAAGAAATTCACAATCTCCAGTGGCAGCACCTTTCTTCTTTGTGGCCAAAAAAGATGGCAAGTTAAGACCGGTGATGGACTATAGAAAGCTCAATGAGAAGACGGTTAAAAATGCATACCCGTTACCGAGATCTCAAGATTTAATTGATGCTTTAACCAATGCCACGATGTACTCCAAGATGGATGTAAGATGGGGGTACAATAATATTCGCATGAAAGAAGGAGATGAGTGGAAGGCGGCCTTCAAAACGCCGTTTGGTCACCATGAACCAACCGTGATGTACTTCGGGTTAACAAACTCCCCTGCCACGTTCCAAACCATGATGAACGAGATATTCAGAGATTTAATTGATGGAAAGACCGTAGTTGTCTATATCGATGATATCCTCGTGTTCACGAATGGCAATAGGGAGCAACACCAAAAAATTGTACGAGAGGTACTGAAACGACTAAAAGAAAATGATCTGTATCTGAAGCCTGAAAAATGTAGCTTCGAACAGACAGAAGTCGAGTTCCTCGGGTTGATAGTGGAGAAGGGTGGTGTTCGAATGGACCCTGTAAAAGTAGAAGGAGTAATGAAATGGCCTGTACCCAAATGCGTTAAAGATATACAAGCATTTATGGGCTTCGCCAACTTCTACAGAAGATTTATCTTCGGGTTCTCAGACATCGCTAGACCAATGAATGATTTATTACGGAAAGATGTCAAATGGGATTGGACGGAGAAACAGCAAGATGCTTTTGATGAACTGAAGTCAAGGTTTACATCAGCTCCGATCCTAGTAATGCCTGACGTTGAGAAGAAAATGAAAATAGAAACCGATGCTTCTGATTACGCAACTGGAGCGGTTCTATCTCAACTGATGGAAGATGACCTATGGCATCCCGTAGCATATTACTCTAAGTCAATGAACGATGCAGAAAGAAATTATGACATCCATGACAAGGAGTTACTTGCAATCATTCGAGCGTTGGAGGAGTGGAGGCACTATGTGCAGGGAAAACCTCATCATGTGGAGATCTGGACGGATCATAAAAATCTTGAGTACTTTATGACGAGCCAAAAGTTGACAAGAAGGCAAGCCAGATGGAGTTTGTTCCTGGCGGAGTATGAATTTACGCTCCAACATAAGCCTGGTGTAGTCAACGATAAGGCCGATAAGCTTTCTCGGAGAGAAGACCACAGAGGGGGGGTAGAAAATGACAATTCTGATCGCATTTTGTTAAAACCGGAGTTTTTTACTGTAAAAGCTGCTAAAAGAGGTCAAGTTCTAGTGCAAGGAGAAAAACAATTGCTGAGAAAGATAAGGCAATGCACAGAACAAGAGCCCGAAGTCGCTAAAGCGCTACAAACGCTAAAAGCAGCACCGGTACAATTGCGTAGAGGAGTCGAAGAGTGGAATGTGGAGGATGGATTGGTGTTATTCCGAGGACTGGTTTACGTTCCAAACGATAAAGAGATCCGCCGAGAGATATTGGAGTTGTTTCACGACTCTCCACCGGCTGGACACCCTGGACGTGCCAAAACCTTAGAATTGATTTCCAGAAATTATTGGTGGCCTTCAATGACGAAGTATGTCCATGATTACGTAGATGGCTGTGATAGATGCAGAGCAACAAAGATTCACCCAACGCAACCACATGGTCCGCTTAAACCAAATGAAATACCAGCGGGACCTTGGCAATCAATCACTTGTGATTTGATAGTAGATTTGCCTAAAAGCGAAGGGTTCGACTCTATTTTTGTTGTTGTTGATCGATACACGAAACAAACGCATATCATGCCTACGAAAAAGGAAGTTGACGCTCGAGGAATCGCGAAACTTTTCCTAGATAACGTATGGAAACACCATGGAACTCCGAAACAGGTGATATTGGACAGAGGAACACAATTCGTCTCCAAGTTTATGGGACAAGTGTCGAAACGCCTAGGCATAAAATGGAACATGTCAACGGCTTATCATCCTCAGACAGACGGACAAACAGAGAGAATCAACCAAGAAGTAGAGCAATATCTGAGAATGTTCACGTCTTACCGCTGTAGAGAATCATGCCTCTCATGGCGTGATATGGTAGTTTTCACCAAGGAGTATACAGCACGAACTCATAGCATTACTCTGTGCGCTACCCGCAGCTATCTCTATATGAGGCGCAGCTTTCCCACGCAACGCGCGCCATGCGCGCACCATTCCCGCGCTTCACGATGTATACGCGCGCGTGCGTTCCCGCGCTTGCGCGCCCTATAGCGCCAGCCATCCAGATGCATCCATCCACTGTCCACCAAGCTCCCTAGTATGTATATTTCCATTTCCTTTATTAGCATAGTTCCACCTTTCTTTTTATCCTAGTTTCTCACTCATATATATTTTTACATACCTACTCGGTAGCGCTTCGGCTCCGCATGAGCGCGCTTAGGCGCGCTATATAAGCGCCAGCAGTACATACTACACAAAAAACCTACTTTTCCTACTTTTCACTTACTAGTTACTACCCACTTACTACTTAGCAGAATATAGTAGAAAGCTATTCCTTTACATTTTGCACTCTTATATCTCTTATCTTGCTTTATATCACTACTTAAGCTTAGTTTCTCATTTCCACATACGCGCGTGCACTTTCCCGCGCTTCGCGCTAATACGCGCGCGCATTCCCGCGCCTTTGTACCTTGCGCGCTCCTGCGCTTTCTCGCGCTTCGCTTAAGCGCACACTTCTAGATCCTTGCTGCACTCACTTCCCCTATAGGGTCGAACGCACTTGCTTCTCAAGTAACGCAGACTAGGCAGCGCACGACCTTACAACTTTTACAGATACAGTCAGGAGCTTCTTTTGTTCCTCATTGTATTGTTGTTTCTACACCGCCAAAATGATTGGGTAGACTGGCTCCCGATAGCAGAATTCGCTCACAATAACTCTGTCACTGTAACGGGTCATAGTCCATTCAAAGTACTCTACGGATACGATCCAGAGTTTACTTTTTCACCAATTTCCAATTCTAAAGTACCTGCAGCTGATGAACGAGTGGATGTAATGAAAGAGGCAAAGGAAGACGCAGAAAGTATGCTGCGAATGGCAAATGAGCGGATGAAGAGATTCTACGATAGAGGAGTAAAGGACGCACCACAATTCAAGAAAGGAGATCTGGTCTGGCTCAATGCCAAAAATATCCGTCAAAAAAGACCAAATAAGAAACTCTCCGATCGACGACTTGGTCCGTTTGAAGTGCTAGAGAAGACGGGTGATGTAAATTACCGCCTGAACCTTCCAGCAAAATATCAGATTCATCCGGTATTCCACGTAGAATTACTCACTCCACATTCCCCCTCGACCTTAGTCCAAAGACCTCCACATCATCATCCGCCGCCAGAGATCTTATCAGAAGGCGATTCCGAATGGACAGTACGAAAAGTCCTAGACTCGAGACTGCACAGATCAAAACTCCAATACCTAGTAGAGTGGGAAGGATATCCGATAGAAGAAGCGACATGGGAACCTGAGGAAAACCTTGAGAATGCACGGTTGAAAGTTCAAGAATTTCACCGGCAAAATCCGAAGGCATTAAATCCCCGCAAAATTAACAAGTCGGTGTTCGAAACCCAAGAGTTTTTGGAATGGCGCAAGAATTTTATTCGTCCTAGTTTCATTCGCGATGACGCTCATCCTAGAGAGGGGGTAATGTCACGAGTTCCAAATACAAATCATTATTCGTTCCTTAATTCTAAGTCCTTTAAGCGCTCAGTCACAGCGCCTGTTCCTAAGAATGTATTCACTGTTGAAGAAGTTCCTATTGTTGCGTCTATTGTAGAATTACCAGAGTCACGTGATCGATCGGACAATGCCAAAGATGTCGATGTCATGCCTCGCGACACTCTTGGAATGTTCCAGAGTCTTACTGCGGCTGCGGCACATGTTATGACATCATAGTTATATATAGAATCGTACGATACCTTTAATTATTCTGATTGGTTAGTTAGTTCATACTCAGTTTCAATCTCAGTTTCAATATGTGTATATAGGTAGCTCGTCGTAGTCAGTAGTTCTTTAGTTCAAACCTCTTGTATCTCCAAGTGAGCAATCCAAGACGTACCTGCTGCCTTATCCTCTTTGTGATTATCTTGTTGTTTGAGTCCTAGTCTCTGCCCTGCGTTAATTCGTTATTGGGTTGTGACAGCGAGCACTTCCCACAGAAGCTGAGGATATCCATACTGTGGAACCATCAACTAAAGTCGACAATACCATAGCATCGTCGTTGATAGTCTTCTTGATTGATGCCTCATCTAATCCATTGTTGGTAAAGTACCATAGTTCGACATATTCTTCTTTGTCTAACTTGCATAGCGCATATGATGATGGAGTGATAGCAGGTTCGTCAGGAATTCCAGTGTTCTGGGTTGGAATATACTTGTATTTATTCTTTTTCCATTCTTCCTTGTGCGTGTCCTCCTCTTCATTGGCATGTTCTTGATTCAACCTCTCTTGCTTGTTATCTTCAAGATGCTGATGGGGAGCTTGTTCTTCTCTATCATCATTCTTCTGCTGTTGCAAATGACGCTTGTCCATATTGTTGTTGGCTTCCCAAATGTTCTTAAGCAACTGAACAGCTTGGATGTCCGTAGTGTTCTCATTGATAAGTTGAGCTCAGGTGGCAACAAAGTCCTCCAATGCATAGTCTGGACATATGTCCAGGTTTGGGTTGTTTCGAATATGAGGCATTTAAGATTTATAATGATAAAGCTTTAGATAGAAGATAGCGATGAAATGAGAGTGTATTTGTGTACTCGAGTACTTGCGAATGCTAAGTGAGAGTATGAAACAAGAAAGAGTGGGAAACCTGAGAAGTTGAATTGCCACATAGATATCATTCTATGTTTGTCCTCATTCCTTGGACTCACATAGAATACAAGCCTTGGACATGGTTCCTTGACAGCGGCTCAATCACACATCATTAATGAAAATATGTTTTTTTGGGGGGTATCTAGTATTGGGATAGCTTAGTTATGGCTGACTCAGCTCTGGATTTCACTAGTTATGCATCAGTTCGGTTGGCAGTAGGTTGGCTCAGTTAATTTTTTAGTTTGGTTCACCCTGGTTAGCTGCATGAACCAGCTCTAAGCCCATTATGTGCGAAAGGTAGTTTGAGCTGGCTGAAGCTGGCTTCAACAAACTTGATGCCAGCATGCATGTAGCCCTCTTCAGTTGTTTGCTGTCTAACAAAACTTCAAATATCTTAGTGTACCATGAAAAACATCCTAATTTGAGTTGATGGCAGATTCGGGCTGGGAGACGTGTTAGGATCTGGCTCATATGGTATGTTCTTTACATGTATAATCTATATGTTGAATTTGAATTTAATGCACACTAGGTGTTGTTACCATGCATGGAACATTATCAATGATGATGAATTTGCTGTCAAACTTGAGCCTCTTATTGACAACTCATCCTCTTTAGAACACTTTGAAGCAACTTGAAGGTGGAGTTAGGATCCCATGTATTGTCTGGTTTGGTAGAGAAGCCACATATGATCATCAATTTTGGTATCATGAAGGAGTACTGGAGCTCTACAACCCAAGCCCATATGCCATTTTATCAAGGTCGATGTCTTACTGGCACTCCTGTGTTTGGATCAATCAATAACTACCTGGGAGTCATGCCTGGTCGCTGTGATGACCTCGAGTCACTCATATATATGTTGATTTATTTCATTCGTGGCTCCCTTCCATGGTTGACTAGCGACCATGAGAAGCTCTCTAGCTCCTCGATACTGGCACACAAGGTGGACACCAATATCGAAGCCTTGTGCCTCAGAATTCCTCCTGAAATCACAACCATGCTCATTTACTCACGTAATCTCGCATTCTCAGAGGATCCTGACTGCAATTATCTTCGATCTTTGCTACATGATGTTTATGCCACATTACCTGCACCAGCCATGCACTCACTGGATTTCAGCCAGTCTAATGATCTTGTCACACATCCGGCTTGTCATGTGTGAGTATTTTGTGTTCGCTCTTCCCACTGACTCACTAACTCAATCCTTCAAGTTTACGTCCACATAATGTTGCCCCATGCCTGTAACTACTAAGACATCACATTGTAAAAATGTTTAGTTATGTACTATATCATTATCATTATCATTCTATTTCTCTCTGTTGCTACCCCAACACATGTTTTATGTAGATGCTGAGACATGTTTGTGTACATTTATCATCACATGAGTGATGTGACACATTACTAATGTACCAAGTGATAACTTCTTATTGATATGAACATGTATGCTATCTTGCGTTCTGCCATCATGCTGTCCCCACTGTCCCCTACAGATTTCATCTGCAAATCGGCAATGTGAGGGACCTTCTACCAACACACTGTTGAAATTGCATTTGTGATTGGAATTCAATCCAGTCACTTAGTGATTACAGAATGGGTTTGTAATTCTGTTTCATTTATTCTGCCAATTGTATCGCTAATAGTGAACTAGAGAGGAGGCAGACCTAAGTGTCTGACTCATGATCACATGGTGCAACCAGCTTTATGCTGCATGTCCAAGACACTACACAAGGGTATTACTACACACTTATTAGATGATGAAAGTAACTCCTGAATCCTAGATCTTACCATTACTGAGGCTCTGCAGCATTTTGGAGTTAGATGATCCCTAGATTCTGTGACATTCTAACTGCATCTTCCTTTGCTAATTGGTAGCAGCTGACACACCCTTGAATTTGCAAGACTCAGTGACCTAGTTACATGTATGTGGCATTATGATTTACTATCAGGTGAGTCAAGATCACTGCATGTGTGTGTTTCCTGAGACTCACAGGGCATCTATTTATATAGAACTGTCATTAACTCATTGGATCCCCAACACTTGCAATCATGCCACCTCAACAATGTCCTCCAAACAAAACTCGGACTCCATACCCTACTGCTGTAGCTCTCCCTGTCAATACATCTGAGACTTCACCTCCTGCTGTTGTAGTTCCCCCTGTTAGTACACACCAGGCTTTACCCCCTGCCACTGCAGTTCCCCCTGCTACACCTTCCTTGCTGCAGCTTCCCATATTGCAGTGACCATAACTCTCTAGAATCTCCACAGAGCTCAATGGCCCACCACAAAGCTTCAAGGCAATAAAGCTCCAGGGCTGGTCCAGGCCATGCAGTGGATGACAGTGAGTTTGACATTGATGATATTTATGAGGAAGATGAGGATGACCTACTAACTCTAGCAGATGCAGCCTGCACAGGCCTTGGCCCACTTCAGATACACATAGGTGCAGATACAGCCTGATCTGATACCTTAGCCATGGGGTGTTGAACAAAATGGATAGGATCAGAAGTGCATTATTTTTTCACTAAGGATGCAACATCAGGCCAGTGCATATGTGAACTCTGCATATGAGTATCATCTCTTGAGTCTTTTGTTCTTCTCTTTTTTTATGCTATTTACTAGGGATATACAGAAAGAAGATGTTTCATATGATGTTGCCAAATACAGTTCGTCAACCAGTACAAGCATTCTTCACAGGCATTTGCTCAAATTCCACTTATGTGCCTACATCACTGCACTGGAGCAATTCAACTTGAAAGTTAGGGCCAAAGACATCTAGAACCTTCTTGATATGGGGTGGACTCTCACCCAGATCCATCAGGAGCTTGACCAAAACCTAGATAAGTCTCTTGAGTCATTTGGTCCCCCCCTGGTGGGGGGGGGGGGGGGTCCTTGGTTCAGGACCCAGGCTAGGGGTGTCAATGCTTGCAGATGAGATACCAGATTTCACTATTGAGGAGATGTATAGACAACTTGTCAAATTCATTGTGGTCAATGACCAAGTGAGTATGTATTTGCTCTCTATGATGCTGTTATTGAATGACATCTTTAGGTGATGAATTCAATGGAATGCCCTGAGTTCTGACAGTTACTTTGACTTCTGCAACAGGATCTAAGCAAGTCTGACATTCCTCATCAGACAAAACCCCGCAAATTGATAGTTGAAATATGGTACAAATATTTTGATGTTTTAAAGCAAGATATGGCCGTAAGTGTATATGTAACTGTTTGATCTCACAAATTATCTCATAGTCTCTCAGAAAGCAAAGGGAAAAATCTCATTTATGTCTGACCTCTAGTCAGATGAGAATCACCGTCCATTCATGACATTGGTGGCCCACTGGATGACCCAGCAAGCATCAAAGCTTATTCTCAAGGTCACCCTTATAGCTTTCAACTACATTCCTGGTTCTCATGATGGGGTGTCACTCGCCACAATTATATTGGGGCCCCATGGACTGTGCAGGGGTGACAGACAAAGTTAGTGATTAACTGCAGTGTATAGCATATTCTGACTTGGTCTAGGTTTGACATTTTACTCTAGATAATGCAGCAAACAATCAGACTGCCACATCTGGATGGCTGGCGCTATAGGGCGCTCAAGCGTGGGAACGCGTGCGCGCGGATACATCGCAAAGCGCAGGAATGGTGCGCGCATGGCGCGCGTTGCGCAGGAAAGTTGCGCCTCATATAGGGATAGCTGCGGGTAGCGCACAGAGTGACACTACAAATTCATGCTATGTACTCCTTGGTGGGAACTGCCATATCATGCCATGAGAGGCATGATTCTCTACACCGGGCGCTTAGTCAAGCCTGGTAAGGCATGTGACAATGAGCAATGATGTGCGCTGAGCAGAGGTGATATGCATGTGCAGGTGGTGGAGTGAAGTGACTCTTAATGAGTTGGAAAACAAACTGAAGAGGTTCTAGTAATGTATGACAGCGGGCACTTATATTGTACTTAGATTCCCAATGTTGGTCGGTAGATATGATAGAGAATTTAGACTTAGAGTCCAACAATGTGCAGGAAGACAGATGTCCATTATACAGTGAAGTGCAAGTATATATATTCTATCTATGTAGCATTAAGCACTGTCAGGCACTAAAGCAAACCAAGAAGTGGAGCAAATACATGATAACATGTAATATAAGGGTCCATGACAAAACATATGGAATATGAGCATAAGCGCTGGAGATATGTCAGAATAAATGAAAATATGATAGGAATACACACCAATAAACCAAATAGACATGGAATGGATTGGACAGAGGATGAGCGACAGAACTGGGGATGAGCGACTATTGCTACATACATGACCCAGAAGCATATTTGGACGCCAGCTCCAGCTTTGGCATTGCTGTCATCATTGGGAACAGATGGCAAGCATGGAGACTTAGGAAAGGCTGGCAGACACTTGATGGCCAAAAATACATTGGATGGGCCGAAGCGGTCGGATTCAAGTTACCTACTCAACACGTTATCAGCTTGGGAGGAACACAGAAGCATTTTAGGGTCTATGGAGACAATCAAGGGATCATTGAAGGCTGGTGTAACGGAAGGAGCAGGAGCACTTCGGTCAATGCAGTCTTCAAAAGAATCTTTGGTTATATCTACAATTCCCCCGCATCTTACTCTTTCCACCCAATGTATGTCGAAAGCAAAAACAACCCAGAGGATGGGTCATCTAGGGAATTTATGGAAGTACTGAGTTCCTGTTACCATCCATCCCTATCGCCACAGAATTTGATGCTTCATCATTGATCCCTTCATCATGTCCACAGACCCAGTGGATTACAGTACAGATGAACTCCTCCCACAATCCAGCAAGCTCTCTTCTCGCAACCATTCCTATGCAGTGCCAGGTCATGAATCTCAATTTGGTGGAGACTCACTCTACTTCATATGCCAGCATCAACAGCCCCATGATTAACAAACCAAAATTCAGAGCTACAATCCTCACAGCACATTCTATGACACCGCTACCATATAAAGTTGAACTTGTACCAATTCCTTTGGTACTTTGGCCTCATTGTCTAGCTCAAGAGAGGCTAAGGTTATGGTTTCCATCAGAGTCACAAGTAGCTTTGGGGCCGAATGGAAAGATACTGGCCATTTCGGAAGAAGATTTGGAAAGAGTGTTAACAGTAATGAATCTATCATGGGCAGTAGGAACGCGAGAGTGTTATGGAGTGGGATTACTGGTATTCCACATCTTTTGTGACGAAAGGAAAGTCCCAGAAGACCAGAGATGCCTTGTGGATACGAGAACACTCTTAAATTTTGTTTTGAGCTGTGCAGGCTCATATTTGGGGAAGATGCTGATGAATTATGTTTATGCGATAAAGGTGTGGCATATTCTCCACAGGCAATCTTGGTTAGTTCAGCAAGACAAGCTTAAAGCAGCTTTGGAAGGCATATCAGAACTCACTCCAGCCACATCCAAATATACCAAACATGAGCCATTTATAGTCAAACTCATTCTAATCATTCGGTCGCATCTCAATCTGATGACTCCTCTGGATGCAGCAGCATATGCATGCTTAACAAGCGCCTTTTTCACTCTATGCAGGCTAGGAGAACTCACTGTGAAGATGATCAAAATGTTTGATCTGAAGAACAACATCAAACACTCGAATGTAGAGTTTGATGTTGAAGATAGACAAGGTTTTAGTGCAACCAAGATTTTCCTACCACACACAAAAGTATTGGCGGTCAGTGAAGGAGTTTACTGGGTGCAACAGGAGAGTTTGGCGGATCCAAAAGCAGCACTCCTTAGCCACTTTGAGGTGAAAAATCCGCGACTGGAAGATCATTTGTTTGCATGGAAACACGCTAAAGGATTGAGACCACTTATGTGAAGTGAATTCTGGAAGAGAGTAGGAGGAATAGTGAAAAGAGCTGGGCTAGGAGATCTCAAAGGCCACAGTTTGAGAATTGGAGGCACATTAGAATATCTGCTTCATGGAGTTCCTTTCGACATTGTAAAGTCAATAGGAAGGTGCTCCAGTGAGGCCTTCACAGGATACCTACAAAAGCATGCACTGATATTAGCTCCATATCATCAAGAGTCTCCAGCTCTATAACCGTTCACCAGATGTCTATATATGATGGTTCATATTCCAACAGTTCGACTCCGCTAGGCACATCGCGTTGTGTCACGTGCAAAGCACTAACAGATTCCAAATCAATGTTTTTGGTTGCAAACCCTTTGGGTTCGAGCCCAAAAAGCATCATATACTCTTACTTTGTTCTATAAAAATCAGCTTATGTCATTGATCAAATATACCTGATTTTTTACGCACTGACACAAAAGTTATCAGCTACACATAGACTATTGCATATAAACAAAATTTTAAACTATATACAGCTGCCAGCTGTATTGGGAATTAAGCCATGAGTGTTTTATTGAAGGGTGCAGTGATTTAATAGTAGCGTATTTTTTTTAGGAGTACACACTGTTATTATTTACATCAGAGATCTTAATACATTTTATATGTTGCGAAAACATCGAATCTCTGCTACCTACTTCAATGCACGGATCACCGACATCATCTGATTGCTTACTTAAACTTAAGTTTACAACACTCCCCCTCAATCGGAAGACATTCCAAGACTTTCAATAAGTCTTTGGTGATCCAGCTTAGGTAGTGCCTTCATTAGTATATCCACTATCATCTCTTTGGTAGGACAATATTTTTTGTGAATTTTATTTTCACGAATATAATGGTTTTTGATGTTGAAATGTTTGGACTTAGCGTGATATTGTGGATCTTTAGATATTGCTAATGCTGCAGTGTTGTCTCCATATAAGGTTGTGGGCTCATTTTGAATAAAATCTAATTCCTGAAATAAGTTTCGAAGCCAGATAGCTTCACGTGCTGTGTGAGCCATTGCAGCATACTCGGCCTCTGTTGAGGACAATGATACTGTGTTCTGTTTTTTCGAACTCCAGGTAATCGCCCCATTTCCTAATTTGAAAACATACCCGGAAATTGATATCCGGTCTCTCGGATCATTGGCATAATCGGCATGAGACCAACCAACAATTTGGACTTCATCATTGTAGGTAAAGCCTATATATTTGATCCCTAAACTACGTGTTCCAGATAAATATCTAAGTACTTGTTTAGCCGCAGTCCAATGTGCTAGCCCAGGATTCGAGGTAAATGAGCTTAGCCTTTGGATAGAATAAGCTATATCTGGATGTGTTGCTACCGCTAGGTACATTAAAGATCCGATCAGTGATGTGTAACCGTTATTTTGGTTGCCTGTCTGACCATTGTCTTCTTTTTCTAGCATTATTTTTGGATCTAAGGGCATACCTACAGTGTTTGACTTTTGGAGACCGTATTTTTGTAGGATAGATTCAATGTACTTAGTTTGAGATATTAGGATCGATCTTTAGGCCGATCTCTAGTTATCTCTATTCCTACTATTTTCTTCAGTTCTCCAAGGTCAGTTATATGAAGGATTTTATTTAGCTGTGCTTTTAATAGAATCATTAAGTCCTCATTACTGGAGAACAATAATAGATCATCCACCCATATGGTGATAATCTCTGTTCCGTTCTCCAATCGTCTGATGTATACACATGGATCGGACTTAGTACATCTAAATCCTATGTTATTCAAATGTTTATCGAGCTCAATGTTCCATTCTCTCCCTGATTGTTTGAGTCCATATATGTCGGAAATTTCTAAAGGGTCCTTGCAAGGCTGCTATATTTATACCGAATTGTGATGCCTGCCAACCATATTGCATCCGAGTTGCAAGTCAGACCGAGTGGCTCGCAAGATGCCGTGTGAATTCCAAGGCAAGTTGACAAAGTTTCAAGGGGCTTGGAAATCTTAATAATAGACCAATGTTACAGTCATCACATTGCCTATTATTATTACTACTCCGATACAACTGCCATCAACAATAACCACTATCTGTGTCTCTAATTGTTGTTCCATACTGTATTCTACTCAGATGTCTGGACCATCATCTACCAACAGATGTGCATATATACGGTCCTCAACATCATCTGCACAAGTGCAATGTAAGTTTTGTAATGAGCCTTTCTCTACTCGTGGTATCAAGTCGCATGAGGGGAGCTGTTTGCGGAAGCGGGAGAAGAAACGGTGCAATAAAGAGTTTGCTGATATTGCGGCTCATGTAGTCGAGGCTCAAAAGAAAGGTATGTCACACCAATAAATTTGTTTGATACTTATTGTCTAACTTAAATGTTGCCCATAAATTTTTATATTGCAATGATCAGAACATCGTAAGGATCGACAGCGCCTCTGAAAGGAATGTCAAGCAGCTGCAACTTGTGATATCAATGTACCTTCACAATCGGCGGATGATCAACATGTCAATGACACAACAAATGTCGAAGGTGCTGACAATGTATTAATGTATTATGGCGCTAATATGCAGGCTACATTCAAATTGTCCCTGCCCTATCTGTCTTGTTCCCTCAACCAAACTTTTTGATCTCAGCACAGTGTATCCTACTCGAACCATCGAGGATGCAAAAGCTTTCTTAGAGTTGTATTCAAGGGACCGTGTTGCTGGAGAAGCAGTACTGAAGGCACACGGCTTACGTCCTGTTGCGGTTCATATTTTAATTGTTTTCATAAGCTATTATCTTAGTTAATACTATTGTCAGAATGCGCTCTGGGAAGTTGAGAACTCTAATCCTCACGAGACGCTCTCGTTCGATCCCTTACATGTCAATGATATCGGTAACTGGGGCACCCACTTTTTCGAGGAGCTCAAAATATGTCTGAAGGCTCTCGGTCGTGAAGCTGAGGCGAAGATTGATGAACAGTATGTTTCGTCATTGCTTTGTGCATTATATCTGTACCAAGACTCTGCAGGTTCAACACATTTCCGCGATGGCGTAATTTAAACCATTTCAAGTCTGTCATGAAGATATTGTTTAGTGATGGCAACAAACTTAGGGATATCGCTAAGGTGAGCACTAATATTATTCACTGGTATGTTTCAATCAACCTTCTAACATCCTGGACTCCAGCAAATGCTGTATGCAGCACAAAACATATTGACACACAATGAAGATACTGTTGGCTATGTGCTGTTGCAGTGTATAGCCAGCTACCTACAACTGACCATGTACATAGCGCTTGATGTGCACACCGAAGCCACACTTGCTGCTGGAGAAGTGGAGCTTCTAGTGTTCGAAACGCACCTACATGTAACTATATATCACATTTCCTTTAACTTTCAGCTATATCTTAACACATTTTCAGGCATATATTGACATACAGGGTGAAGATTTAACCAAGAACTGGAATTTTCCCAAGGTGCATGCCCTGACGCATGCTTTCCCTGACATCCACGCAAAAGGAGCAGCACGCAACTTCAGTACTCAACCGAACAAGAAGCAACATGGACCATTGAAGCAAGCATACTTGCGTCAAATGAATCGTAAAGATGTTGCCAATCAGGTACGCTGTCCTTTAATTCAAACTGCTTGTGATACTAACATATTACTGTACAGGTCCTCAAGCTTGATCATATCAGTGTAGTTTCTGAATTGGTCCACAGTCGTATTTCCCACCTTGATGAAGATCGGTGCAAACACACGATGTCACAGGGAGAACTCAAAGACAATGATACACTAGATGATCAGCCATTTTTGGGCCATCTCCATGTCGGCGCTCCTCAAATTCCTGTCACTCTCGCTGCAGTGGAGGAAGGCAACACATCAAACCGCACATTTCAGGATTTCCGAAAGAAGTTCATGAAGTTCCTCAATAATTTCGTTGTTTCAAACAACATTCCTTTGGATGGTGTTACATGGTTGCAGCCTACAGCTAACAATAAAGTTGTTTTATTCGTCTACATCCTTCTAAACGTCTACTGATTATGGTTTTTTTTCATCACAGCTTCAAGAATATCGCTACCTCAAAGTAAACTATGAGTCTACTGTCGACTGGAGACTGACCACCGACTATCTCCGATGTAATCCGAGCTTCCATGGGTGTGAACATTGTTATTGCGCCTTGATACAGACCCTAGACAAGGACGGGAATGACAAGAATATCTTTGTCCAGATATTGTTCATGTTCAAGTTTACGGTCAGCAATCACACTTTTGAACTTGCATTAGTCCTATCCATGGATGCTCCCACTGGTTCAAGACAAAGTACAGATCGCGATCTGGGACTAACTCGTCTTTGGGCACGACCTCTAGCTTCATTGGAATTTATTTCCTTACAATCTATCATTCGCAGTGCTTTACTGGTGCCAGATTATGATAACAATGGTGATTTTTTCCTTGTTGATCTTGTCGACACAGATATGTTCCTCCGTGCGAAGAGTTTGAGGTCTAGGTAGAGAGGTACAAACATGAGTGAGTCTTATCAGCTTGCATGTGCATTACTAGATGATACTAATAGTTATTACAGAATGATTATGTGCAACCTATCATAGACTTGACATATATTATTACTATAATGTGTGCACACGCGGATTCTTTGGCCAAGAAGATGCATTTCATGTATGGATGAATGACTCAGTTGGATGTAGGCTAGTATATAATACAAGTACTAATATTACTATAATGTATGCAGACACGGATTTGGCCAAGAAGATGCATTTCATGTACATCGGATGAATGACTCAGTTGGATGTAATAGGATGATAGATAATATATACTATTACTATAATGTATGCACACGTGGATTTGGCCAAGAAGATGCATTTCATGTACAGATGAATGACTCAGTTGGATGTAGGATAATAGATAATAAATAATAGCACCACAGTTTTTGTTTGCAGGAAATTAATGAATTCGTGGTCTTTTCTTGGTGCTGTCTGTCTCTCCCATCGAACTGCAATTGTAAATCTCTCTGTTCTTATTATATTACAATGTGTAGATACATGACAGTACATAATGACATGGCATGATGCATAATCTAGTTGAAGAGACTGAAACCCTGTAGACCAGCACGTAAGATTTGTGCAAACCAAGAGCAACTTACCATGTCATCATTAGACTCCTCCTTCTCTTTGGCCTTCTCTGAGGGATTCAGAGTGCGCGACCAAGATGATGGTGGGGTAGTTGAGGGCAAGTGAGATGGCAGCAATGGTCTGGATACCGGATAAGAAGTGGTCGATGAGCACCGACCTGGACCTCGGCCGAGATTTCAATAGTACCACGAGTGATCTTGGTGGGGATACCGAGGGTCTAGAAGGAGGAGGTCTTTCCGGACTCCATACCATCAGTGTTTCTGTAATAGTAATGATAATAATAGGATAAATGGTTCAGACACACCTGATTCACTGCAGAAATGAGAAATTCACCTGATAGGGTTGAGGTAGAAGTAGTGATGATAAACATATTAGATACAAGGACTTGGAACAGGATGCACGATTGACAAGTCACCTGACTGACACGACGGAAGTTACTTCCGTCGTGTCAGGTGACTTGTCAATCGTGCATCCTGTTCCAAGTCCTTGTATCTAATATGTTTATCATCACTACTTCTACCTCAACCCTATCAGGTGTGTCTGAACCATTTGTTATCTATTACTCGGTGATGGTGACATATTAATAATAATAATTATGTCTGAATCTGCCAGGCACCCAATTTGAGATCGGTTCAGACAGCACCTGGACCTCACCTGATGATCAATTACGTCGTGCATAATACTCCTGCCAGTGATAAGACGTGTTTGGTCAGGACTCACGGAGGTAAGTTACTAATAGTACGTGTTTGTATACTGTGTGCAAGAGCGCAGGAGGTAAGCGTCTGAATCAAAATTTATATAAATGTCTCATGGGAAATTTGAAGACCTTGGGCCAAGTTGCATCTTGTCACCTCCCTCTTAATCATGCCTTAGCCACAGCGAGCTCAAGCTGAAGATAATTCAGACTTCGAAAGTTCACAGGACTTGACGGATTCTGATTCCTCTGATGAGTCCAATGAAGATCTCGTGCAGGTACGTGCTGCTATTGCACCTACCAGAGATGGTGCAACTGTTCAGGAAGTCCACCAGGTGTGTCTTATTCTTGTTAATGTTGTCGTTTTACACTACTCACATACATACAGGCGCTTGAAATTGCACAGAACCTGCTACTGAATATGCGTGGCAAATGTTGAGAACTACTGAAATGGAATGCACTTCTTGAGGCTTCTACAGCCAAAGGACGTCAGTGGCATTCACTCGGAAATGGTTTCAGATGTCAAGTCTTGCGCAGGTGCTATATTTGGGTTGAATCCCGAATTTTTTGTTCGAGGCTACCCTCACGATACTCAGCCAGAATGCTGTACTATGCTTGTGAATCCCCGTGGTGAATACACAAAGTTTACTCCCATACTCTTTCTTCATCCAGAGTGTCTCAACAAAGACGAATTTCTCAAAACAGCAAAGCTTGTTCAGGTGCGTTGTTTTTATTAGTATGTACATGTGCGAGGTCTTTATCATCTAGCTATTAGGTCTTAAAAGTAGCGCTTTTGGGAAATCCTCCCTTTCTGCCACCTACGCTCCAGCCCCCAAGACTAACACCAAACTTTGGCAATTATGGAATACCACTCCGGGTATGATTGCTGCTGCTGCTGTTGTTGTAAGTCTTCATCAGATATTGTATCTCTGAGTGTGTACTGATTATGTTTGTGCCACTGGCAGGCAATATTTGTTCTTTTGGGTGACAAGGATTTGTACGCGAAGGGTGAAAAAAGCAATATCCTGTACCACCAATATCATAACTACTATCGCCAACATCTAATGACTGGAGGTGCCTGGACACGAGACATCCTCACCTTTTTCAACAATGCCCTCTTCCCTGAAACCTCATCCTCGCATGTCGGTCCAGACACGACAGATGCAGGCACTTCCCACAACAGTTTGGAAGAGGAACTTGAGCATTCCATGGAAGAGGGAGGCAACGGGCCAGCTTTTCAATTTGATCCTGTCGTTGCCCCTGTTACTCAGTGTTCTGAGTCCATCGTGGACCAATCCTCTGCCTCTGTCACACGCCCACCATCTGCCTCTGTTGCACTGCCAGCATATTATGCTCCTGCTGTTGCATTTCCACCTGCCCCTGTGACTGCCCCTGTTACTTTGCCCTCGGCTGCTCCTATCATCATGGCACCATCTGACTCCATCTCTTCGGCAATGCAAGACCTTACCTTGGCAGGTGGTCCTCCCCTTGTAGAGCCTGATGTGGTTGGGGCTGTCCCCCCGAAACCTAAACCAAAGCCAAGGCAGATGAATCAGGCGCTGAGGTTTGCAGGTCTGGCCGAAGGAAGTGATATATCACGCACTATTTGTCTGAATATCATTACTCTGCACTCACTTATCACACACATTTTCAGATATCTTCTTTACTGTTAGTGAAGTTTTTTGTCGTTTAAATTGTCTCTTCAATGATATTTGTTGTTTATCGTTGTGCCTTATTGTGAATCATGATAATCATTGGACCTTTTCGAACATTCAGTCTCGCCGTCGGCAATGTCACAATCATCGCTAAATTAGGTCAGAAGTACACATAATAAAACAGCTGAGTAAGCTAATTACATTCCCAGTCATGCCAACTTGACTTTGGCTCTTGAAATCCAACCACAACTTGGCTCTCTTATTAACTCTCACCTGGACCATTACCATTATTTGCCACCACGTCAGACATGATGTCAGGTGGTTCCATTGTGACCTCGTGCTGGTATGAACACAAATCAGACAAGCAAACCAACTCTGCTTGTATGGGATCAGTGACAGCAGCGCAGGTATTGTTTTTTATTTTATTTTTCGAAGATTATCCTGCCTCTGACATCAAGACTCCCGATCTACCCACCGTCAGTGCTTCAGCCTTGGGTATATGGCTGTTACGACTGTAGTAATGAGATGTATGGTTGACCACAGGTATGTTTGCTTTCCCAAGTCCAATCTACTGAGTGCTAACGTGTTTGAAACATTTCATGCGACACTGTCGTTCCCTCAGACTTGGGCTCCCTCCTCAGTGGCACCACCAACTCATCCCATCATGTGTGCAAGCGCCTCCACTCTCTACCTGCCCTGACTCACTTCAGAGTGAAACACTGACCTCGCTCGAGGCCACAACACCCATAAGCCCTCCTTCTGAAATTCATCTAGCACCCTTGTGCACTGATTCTATTGCTGCCTCTCCCGCCACTCAGCTATTCCTCTCCTGCAACCAGTGACAGCGGTGGCAACAACCACATGCAGCGCTCTCAAGACAAACAGAAATTGGGCATTGTCAGGAGCTCTGGTAGACGAGTTGTGATGCTGCCGGAATCTGTACATTTGTAATTCAGTGTTTTATGCAATTTAATCATAGTAGTTTCAATTCAGTTTATATCGTTGGAATTTTATTAGTGTGATTGAAACTAGCATTATATGTCGAAATTTGGTTGAAATGATAAAATATTATTGGAAGATATCTTTGTGCTTGGAACTGTCTTTTAATGCCTTGTAAGGCATGAGGTCTTGGCACTTTAGCACTGCCTTGGAAGGCAGTTGCAAGACCAAATGGGCCACTGCCAACTGGCTTATGGCAATTTCGGGTGTTCTTGCAAGTCAGTTGTAATGCCGCCAGTAAATTGAGGCCTTTCAATCCATTTTAAGGCATGGGAACCCAAAATATATATTTCTGACATAGGGTTTTCTTAAGTCAGCACACTCAGCCAGTACCATCATTGTACCCTTCTGGTTGTTCCATATAGACTTCTTCTTTTAATGTACCATTTAGGTACACTCCCTTTACGTCCATTTGCTCTATCTCCCAATTGAGGATAGCAGCTGTGGACATAACCGATCATATAGTCTCTAAATCGACTACCAGGGAGAAAGTGTCTGTATAGTCCATTCCCAGAATTTGTGAGTATCCTTTTGCTACAAGTCTGGCCTTGTACTTGACTATTTCCCTTTCTTTGTTAGTTTTTCTCACCAGGACCCACTTATTCCCTATGATCTTACGATCTTCGGGTGGATCTACAAGTTTCCAGGTACCCATTTCATTCAGTTGGGTAAGTTCCACATCTACGGCTCCTTCCCATTTGGGCCAATCCACTGATTCTTTTGCTTCTCTCAGCGTTCTTGACTCGTCAGGTTCAAAGCTTCCATTTTTGGCATATGCAGCAAGAATTATCTCAGCTTTGGTGAGCTCTTCCTTGTTCTTATATCCGCTTTCATGGTCGAGGTAAGCCCATTCTATTGCTGGATCATTCAGCCTTCGATAATCTTGTCTAACTACTTTCCTTTTTGTTCTTCTAGGCAGTGTTCCATCTGCATTTTCAGGTGAGTGCAATCTTTTTCTATTTTTAGTGCCGCTTCTTTCGGTACTGGAAGCATCATTGATGCTTCCATTTTCATTTGATCGTTCACTACTCCCATCAACTTCAGATATTGGTACATTTATATTTTCATTTTCCGTGTGCTGATTTTCTTTCTGGAGTGGATTTGTAGGTGTCTGCATGTCATCTTCCCCTGATGGCTGCACGTCCATACTCCCTACCTCCCCCTCGCACTGTACATCAGGCACTTAGGGGAGTTGTTCACAGCAGGAATTTAAAATTCCTACTTACCCAGATCTGGCGTGATTGCATGTCATAATAGCGCACCACTCTAGGTCCGTCTTCGAATCCTACAAACATGTGTTTTATTGACTTCGTGTTCATTTTTGATAGTCTAGGGCCTTCCTGCAAAATGTATACTGGCACCCCAAACTCATTCAGGTGAGATATGTCTGGTTTCTTACCACTCCATAACTCTTCAGGGGTAACACTTTCTAGTGCTCGTATCGGCACACAGTTTCTTAAATAGGCAGCATGTGCTACAGCCTCTGCCCCTAAGAATTCAGGTAAGTCTTTAGCTATTAGCATGGCACATGCTAATTCTGTTAGAGTTCTATTAAATCTTTCAGACATGCCATTTTGTTCTGGTGAGTAAGGTGCTGTTGTCTGAAGATCAATTCCTCTATCCTTGCACCATGCTTTTAGCTCATTATTGACATATTCTTTGCCATTATCGATGCGGATCTTTTTAGGTTTATTCTTGCAGTCTTTTTCTAGGTAGGTAAGGTGTCACTTCATTTTTGTGGTGGCCTCACTTTTTTGTTTCAGAAATTTGACGCTACTTCTTTGGGAGTAGTCATCTATAAATGAAATATAGTATTGTGCCCCACCGATCGATTGCACCCTCGCCGGTCCCCATAGATCACTGTGAGTTAATTCCCCAGGATCTCTAGATTTCTCATCTACGCTATCAGGAAAAGGTTTGCACACCTGCTTGGCTTGTATGCAAGCCTTGCATTCTTTCATAGGTGAGTCTATGTCAATGTCTAATCCATTGACTAAATTTTCCTGATGCAAACATTTCAGCCCACTATACAAGATATGTCCGTACCTCCTATGCCATGCTAACCAGTCTTTATTCGGATTTTCTTGTATAGTTTGTATGCAAGTCTTAGGATATTTTTGTGCTCGTGTATCTAACTTGTACAACCCATTAATTGATTTTCCTTTGACAATGGCTCATCCCCCTCTAATATGAAGAGTGACTAAACCATCTTTCATCTGCGCACCTCCACCTTCTCTATCGAGTTTACTAATTGATATGAGATTGTTAGAAGCACGCAGCACGTATAGGACATTCTGGAACTTTGATCTGATCAATTGATTGCCTATTTTACTAACGAGTTCTATAGTACCACACCCGAGTGCTTCAAGGGATTCATTCCCGATACCATTCACTCGGTGTCCATTAAGTGGCACATAATTGATCAACACCGATCGAATCTTCGTTAAGTGGGATGATGCTCCCAAGTCAGCATACCAATAATACCAGGAAAGTTGCTCAGATTCATCCTCACCTATATTTACATTTTCTTCAGTCATATAAGTGACGTCTTCAGCAAGTCCTGACATATTAGCCATATAGGCTACGTCTTTGATGGTCTCGTCCTGATCCATCAGCACTTCTTGGACTAATTTAGCTTTGTCCTTCTTGAAGCACTTCTTGGTGGATGGCCCTTCACCCACTTTACTGCCACCTTTCGCCCAGCAATCCTTCTGTTCATGCCCCATCTTCTTGCAGTTAGCACACTTTTGGACCTGTGCCAGCAATCATCCTCCATGTGACCGATCTTTTTGCATACCTTGCACTTCTTTACATTCCCATCTTTCTTGGTAAACTTTCTTTTCTTTTCATTTACTGCAATCTTGCTAACCACAAACTTGGTTCCTCTTTCCTTTCTTCGACAGTCTTCCTCAAGAATCATCGAAATGAGTTCATGTGATGTCATCATCATATTACTCCGGTGAGTCACTACAAATGTCTCCCATGAGGGCGGTAGTGATCCCATCATTATAGTTTTGAAGTCTTGATCCAGGACTATGCTCCCCATCATGTGGAGAGTCTCCTGGATCATTCTCAGCTCAATGATATGAGCAGGGATGTCAGTGGATTCGGACACGAAGGTACGATACAATTTATGCCTCCAAGTGTAGATACCTTGCTGACCTCATTGGAGTAGGGCACCCCCTAGCAAGGGGTGAGCAAGGCAGAGGATTAGCAGGGCAAGTAGAGTCTGAGAGAGGCCGAGAGCAGGAGTCAGGCTAGCTTAGTCAGCACATAGACTTAGCAGGGCACAGTTCATAGTCTCACACTATCACATCCAGGAGGTCACCTTGACTCTACACACTAGCAGGAGTTGCCACTCCATCTTGGTGAGAGAGTGGGATTCAGTCTTTGCAACAAACATTCTGCCGATACTGAAAGTAGAGGCTGATTAGACAGATATGATATCTCATTTAAAAATGTCTAAAAAACATCAATGAACGCATACCAATGTACACGTGTAAAATGCATGGCCCCAATAAAACATAGAAAAGGCCAGGCAAAAGGCTCCAAAAAAGCTGTACCCATTCGAGGATCAGATGGTCGATTCCTCCCATCAGACAAAAGCCTAAACTCTTCCATTGCCACTTCTTCTTTAATGACAACGACTAATTCATCACCTCTAGACACCCCAGAATTAGCATCTCACGTCTTAGACAGTGATACAACAGACACCAAAGACTATGAGGCAGATTTGGAAGACAACCAGGAAAAATACATTGACCAAGACTCTTTACCTGGAGCCCCCAATCCAGAGTCAATCGTCTGGCCCATAGAAGGAATCCCATCACCCCTGCCCGACCCATCAGAACAACTTTGGAGATCTGTCCGCAAGACTCCCAAACCAGCCACGTTACCTATTGCACCAACACCAACGAAACCATCAGCGATAGCCCCCATCATACTCCCAGCATTATTCAAAAATTTGCAGACAACTCCACCAACAACTATCCAAGCACCACAATCACGCAAAATGAGCAACAATGTTGCACCAGGATGGTTTCACAGCAAACCAGATGAAAATGCACAAAATTTCTTGAAGGAAGCAGACCGCTATATCACACTTAATGACCTGAAGACAGAAGTGGCAAAAATCATTGTGTTCAGTACGCTCCTCTCAGCAGGATCGGTCGCAGACCTATGGTGGACTAAGTTGGACAGCATGAAGAAGACAATGTGGGCAGGCGTCCAAATAGTGTTCAATGATAGATGGCCAGCGATCACCATTGCAGAGAAGACAGGCCTTGACTATCAGCATGAGATGTTAGCATTACGCATTGATGAAGAAGATCTAGGAATGCAGGTCACAGTTGCAGGAGTTCAAACCTGGGCACACTTGCAATTCTATGTCAAGTTACAACAACTTGTTGCAGAAGCAGGAGCAAGTGAAACAGCAGGACTGGTTTATCAAGTCAGAGAGAACTTGCCATCAGTGATCAAAGAGCTCACCACTCCAGGGCTCGCTGACTGGACGAAGTTCTTAGATGAAATCAAAGGCATTGATACGAACAAGTTGCATGAAAAGGCGGAGGTTGTACAGAAGAAGAAGGCATCATAAAAAATGCAGAACACTCGTTTGGCCAGACTTGAAGGTCTGCAAACAGATGCGATTGAAGTCTTACGACTACAGCTCCAACACAGTAACCTGGGAACCCCTCAATCAGGAGCAGCAGTAACCAATGCTGCTCCACCTCACATATGCTACATACCCAGAATACCCATGGCTAGACCACCAACACGTCAATGTCAACCACTCTCGCTGGAAGAGAAAGACTTATTGCGCAGTCATATCAATGACATCCCTCACCACCCTGACACCACGGCAGGTATTGCAGCATATCAAGAACAACTCAAACAGTGGTTCATGAAGTATGGGCAAGATGGCAGAGTCAATGAGAGCACACAGTTTCCTCTTTGTCCCAGCAGTGCAATGATATGCTCAGGAGAGTGTTTCAAGTGTGGATCCCATGGACACATAGTGGGAGCGTGCCCAGCACCAGAGGCATCACAGCTTGTTATCCAGAAGAAGATATGGCGTAGTATTGCAGCGCGAGAGTTGGGGAACTTCAACCAAGGGCATGCCACACAGATTGACCTGATGCTCGAAGACAAGTTCATATAACAATGGGAGCAGGGAAAAGGACAAGGGTCGTCAGTGTAGAGGAGCATCAGACAACCCAAACAGAACACATACCTCGCCCAGTAGAACAATCGGTCCTCGTATGCAAAGAGGCAACATATGAGGACCAGCCCATCAGCCACATCGAAACAGTTCTAAGCACAGACTCTGTCATTGTACCAAAGTCAGACGAACTATGCAAGATCATTGAGTTGTACTCAGCAGAGGAGACTAAGAGCAACACACACTGTAACCAGCACTGCCTACCATTCATACATCACATGTCATTCATGAGACCAAAAGGAGAAATAGTTCGAGTCCAGGCACTGTTTGACGAAGGAGCTATGATCAGTGCCATGTGCACATCGGTCTTTAATCAAATCAAACACCAATTAGGGAACTGGGGCCCATCCATGAAGCATCTTCGAATGGCCAACGGAATGATCACCCCATCAGAGGCTGTGTGGAAGGGCAAAATTGTAATTGGAGGTATATGGGCAACAGGAAAATTTGAAGTCTTTCAAAGCGGAGGAGGGTGGAAGTTTCTTTTTGGGAAACCACTACTACAAGCATTCAAGGCAGTCCACGACTATGAAATGGATGAAGTCAGCATCACAGGAACAGGTGGCACAGCGATATTGCGCAACTGCATGCCAATGAAAATGAACATAGTCAATATGGAGGAGACAGCAAGAGTACAGAATGTAGTAGAAGCGGACACAGGTCAGAAGGAAGGAAAGGATCAGCAAAGGCGAGTCGATGATTTTGAACCAAGCACAGCACTCACACAAGAGCCAACAGAAGCCAAGTCATCCATGGATGAAAATAATGAAAATATCATCCCCATATGCATTAACAGTAATGAAGACCTGATGCTACCGGCTGAGTTAAACCCGCCGTTGAAGGAAATCCCCACTGACTTTTTGAAGGACAACGCAGTGATATTCACATGGCTCACAGACCTGCACAATCCATTAAGAATCAAGTGGATTACGAAGTGTGTTCAATATGGCGAGGATCTGACCCCAGATAAACTAACAAAGGTCAAGGAACTAGTTGCGGAATATGAATATGCTGACATTTCTGCGTGTTCCTTAGGTGAAGTTATACCAGTCCCAGGAGCAACTCACTGACTGAATATACTGGACAGAATGACATTCAAACTTCGGGTTCATCAAAGACTGCTTATGCCACTGCAACTACAGTTTCTCCACAGCAAAGTCGACGAAATGCTGAAGGCTGGAATCATTGAACACGCACTGCCAGAACTCATCAAATGTTGTGCAAACATGGTCCTAGCAAAAAAGGCACATGAGCAAGAAGGAATGACGCTAGAAGAACTTCAAAGAGCAGTCAACAATCAGTGCCTATGACACAATCAACCTCCGGCATTTATGCTGCCAGACATAGAAGTAGCAGAAGGGCTGGAAAAGAAGACCCTAGAGAACAAGCCGCAGAGGATATGTCAGAACTTCAATGAGGTTAATCGCATTATGAACATAGCACCACACATACTACAGTGACCTATCTCCGTATAATACGAGGGAACGGACGTGCATAATATCCCGTATGATACGGGCCAGCGGACCATGGGCCCATGATAAAAATATTCTCGACTATGACGGATGGGCTGGGAGGCAAATTATTCCCGATGGAGGCGGGTGGGCCCATGCAGGGAATATATAGAGTAGATGAGTGGGCCGATGTAAATGAATATTAGGTAGACGGGTGGGCCGAGGTAGCTGGATATTATGCAGATGGGTGTATTAAGGTAGATGTGTATGAGATAGATGGGTAGGTACTTGTTATCACATTCACGGGTGGGCCCAGACACATATTAAATTAGACGGGTGGGCCGAGGGTATTATAAAATATTGTATTATACGGGTGGGCCCAGACGCATATTAATTAGACCGGTGGGCCAAGGGTGTTGTATGGGATGTTGTATTAGACGGGTGGGCCGAGGGTGGTATACAATATAGATGGGTGGGCCCATGTGTATCATAATTGTAGACATGATGGAGCTGAGGTAGTTGTACATCAACCAAATCAGAGGAGGTAATAAATCAAAGTTACCAAGTTCCCGGAGCATCAGGTGATCTCCTGACATGGCAGTGCGAAGCTTGTGTTGCCCAACGAGACACCAAGTTCCGGCCACCAAAATTGGAGTCAACTGTACCGAGTTCCGAGTTCCGGGACCCGGAACTCACCACATAAGTTGGTTAATACTTTTTGATGGTGCACAGGTTGTCTTGCAGAATGTGGAATCCGGGGTGCGAAGCTTGTGTTGCCCTACGAGAAGCCAAGTTCCGACCACCAGAATTGGAGTCAACTGTACCGAGTTCCGAGTTCCGAGTTCCGGGACCCGGAACTCAACACATAATTTAGTTAATACTTTCCGTGTTAAATGGCCAACTGAAGTTGAGATGTTTCTGAAGAGAGCAGCAGGTGCTCTCTTGACATGGCCTCTGATGGTGCTTAGGTTGTCTTGCAGAATATGGAATCCGCGGTGCGAAGCTTGTGTTGCCCTACAAGAAGCCAAGTTCCGACCGCCAAAATGTGAGTCAACCGTACTCAGAGGAGGTAATAAATCAAAGTTACCGAGTTCCCGGAGCAGCAGGTGATCTCCTGATATGGCAGTACGAAGCTTGTGTTGCCCTATGAGACGCCAAATTCCGACCACTCAAATATGGGTCAACCGTACCGACTTCCGAGTACCGGGACCCGGGAGTCGACAAATGAATATCTGATGACCAGCATACTTCCAATCAGGTAGTATTTCATTGAGCAATGGATAATAATACATCTTTGACAGCGGCCAAAATTATCCATGGCTCCCTTATCTGATCCTCTCTATCTCCACCCCCTATAACACCAAAGTCCGGACATCCAGCATGAACGGTTCTTCCCCTTCCCCTCCTGATAGCATAAACATCTGGCGCACTTGGGCCCTGACTGTGACTTATGAAGCAGGGGAATATACTGAACAGAAATTCAAGGCAGAGAAGACTGGAGGAGGCCCAGTCATACCTTCCCCCAACCTAGACACTGATCTGGTGATGGCGTGTGATCGCTTGGCTGATGTACTCATAAAGGCATCTAAAAATCCCAGTGGGTCTTCCTGCAGATTCGGAAAATTCTATTTATCATTCAAATTCCTGCATGACAGTTCAGATGCAGATGGATATTGCAAGATATAGCAAATTGATCTCCCCGAAGGACACCGGGCATAATGAACATAAAGAGGCGAGGTTGCTTGAGAGGTGTCCTCCTGGCCATGAAGGCAAAAGATTGGTCGATGAACCTGCAATAATTCTTGATGCATCCGGTGCCATCATTGCATGGTATCTCCCAGATGCCCTGACAGACACCACCCAGGTGTGTAATATACATTGTTACTCGATGGATATCGAATATTAATGGAACCTACAGAAGGAAATCAGGGAGGCCACCTATTTGCTCTCTCCAAGCCTCGAAAAAAGTGTAAGGGCTGATGGCAATTGGCGAACTAATCAAAGGTTGTTCAACCGGGGCTCAGAAGATGTTGGAGCAACTCCCGGATGCATCAATCTATCTCCGGCATGGTTTCAACAGGGACACGAGGTAGGATCTGATGAGATGGTGATTCCGGCAGTCATACTTACCAATCCCAAAGAATGTGTCCGATCCGGAGGTATCTGCATCATTGAAGGGACCTTCCTGCGAGAATATCCTCAAAGCCATTGCAAGGCCAGCAGCCATTGCGTCCGCGGCACTCAGAGTCATGCATCCTGAGCAGTACTGGGCAGGGTTGAGAACCTTGTCAAACCTTGGAAATATAGCAGTAAGCAAGGATCTGCCACAGATGCCGGAGGCCCTGCAGTACTGGGCATCCGTGTTTAACACCCTCTCCATTATTTCCAATCGGGAAACCCCCCATCATCGAGACCACATGTCCATTGCTGAATGCTTCGACATTCTCACCACCGTGGGGGACTATTCTAATGCTCGGATGACAATGCCAAACCTTCAGCTGGAGTTCAAGTACAATTCCGGCTGTATGATTGCGTTTTCCGGAAAGATTGTGAGACATGGAGTGTATGATGTGGAAGGGGATCGGATTGCTTGGGCATGGTATATGAGGGATGCTGTTCATATTTATGCTGGTGTTCCATCATGTGGATGGGCTAGTGTGGATGGTCCATACAGTGTGTGAAAGATCAAACAAAGAGCAAGCATTGTGACCTATATACATTCCAACAAATGAATACCATGTACCAATTGTGATCCGGACCTCAATACTCAATTTTGAGCATTTCCCAAGTGATATGTGGGACTAAATAATTTGGATGCAAGCCTCGGTATTCAATAATTGGAACTCGGGACTTGACATATGGGAGTCCTGAGTGCCGGGGTACTTAGTCCCGACACCCGGACCTCAGCACGTGATATTTGAGACTGGGGGAAGATGTATAAATACGCTCGAATTAACATTTGTTATTGCCATACACATTTAACAAAACCCTGAACCCCGACATTGTGGACTCCGGACTCGACACTGTTCTGAATACCGAGTTCCGGACGCCCAGGTCCCGAGTCCCGAATTTCGGAGGTCGGGGCTCGGAGACCCGGAGCTCGGCAACTGTGTTGGGTGTCAGGGTATCCAGACCATTGGAGATAGCATGTGTCAGTATTTTGCGTTTCATGGTTTATGTTGGGTGAATATGGAATCGGGGATCAGGGACTCGGTATTCAGAACAGTGTCAAGTCCCAGGTCACGAGCTCCGAGTCCCGAGTGCCGAACCCCGAGTCCCGAGTCCCGAATTTCGGAAGTCGGGGTTCGGCGACCCGGAGCTCGGCAACTGCTGGGTGTGGGTTTCGGGACTCGGGACTCAGAGCTCATGACCTGGGACTCAACACTGTTCTGAATACCGAGTCCCTGACACCTGATTCCATAATCACGAAACATAAACCATGAAACTTAAAATACTGACAAATGCTATCTCCAATGCTCCGAGTACCCTGACACCCAACACAGTTGCCGAGCTCCGGGTCGCCGAACCCCGACTTCCGAAATTCGGGACTCGGGACTCGGGGTTCGGTACTCGGGACTCGGAGCTCGTGACCTGGGACTTGACACTGTTCTGAATACTGAGTCCCTGATCCCCGATTCCATATTCACCCAACATAAACCATGAAACGCAAAATACTGACACATGCTATCTCCAATGGTCTGGATACCCTGACACCCAACACAGTTGCCGAGCTCCGGGTCTCCGAGCCCCGACCTCCGAAATTCGGGACTCGGGACCTGGGCGTCCGGGACTCGAATGTGAGATTTTTGAATGCATAGAATATGTTACATCTTGTATACAATGAAGAGTGAATGGGACTACACTCCTTTGCCTTTCCTCAATTTCTCTAACATGTCAGTGTACATCTTCACCTCTCCCATCTTAGCTTCGATGCCCTGATCTTGCTCCTCCAGCAATGCTTCCATGCGTTCTTTGATGAATCTCAGTCCCATGAGTGGTGGAGTCGAAGTGTTTTTCAACTTCTCTGGAAGTACCAAAGCATCATCCTCAACATTAAGCTGAAACAGATAAGTCATCAATCAAGGTAATTCAGCTGACATCTTACTGCCCAATACTGGTAGTGAGAGACGCAGGAAGCCATTATTTCATCCCACTGCCATGGTTGATCAGGGATTGTGGTGTTTCCCATCCACCATGGACATGTATATGCGAACACAATCCGGGACGGATGTCCTGCAATTGGCTCATCATGAAATGAAAGGAGGTGGAATGAAAAGACGTCGTCCGGAACAGTGTTCCAGGTCAGCATGGGATACAACTTAAGGATATAAGCGACAGGGACCGGAAGACACCGACACGATATTCTGTGAAGCGGAGTACTGCAGGAGTGGTGTGACAAATGTCTGCTCAAATTCTTAGCATTGACCAACAAAGTCATCAGGGCAGTGGTGACATACATTCATCTCCCATTGCAGCCCGGCTTTAAAATACTTGATCCGGTCAGCAGATAGACCATTGTTGGCAGCTTCCGTCCGATATTGAGAGATGATTGCACGGACGCGCGATCCAGCCATTGCCAATGTGCAGGAAATAGTTGCAAGGCTCAGCTTCAGAGGTCGGTAATGGCTTCCGGGATTCAGAGTGCCAGAAGTGGATGCATGAGATGCAGACATGGCTAATACAGGACTATGGCGCTGGCAATACAAGTGAAAGATGGTCAAGATGTGAAGATAAGAATCACTGATGGATGGATACGAAATTCAAACTCCGACATGGGCTGACCCGGACAATTCCCGGGCGTCAATTATGTATGTGGAAAAAGGGACTTCATGAGAAAACAATGTTCATTCATCTCCAGCCTCTATCAACACGTTTTGTAGGTCTTGAAAAGCTGCCTGCGCATCCTGTGCCAGCAATGAATACATGTGGGATTGCCTTCCGGCGTAGCATCCGTGACCCGGAAGTCGTTTCTCCAATGATTCCTGCATGTGCTCGCCCCATATGGTTGTTTTCCACAAAAAGAACTTACATGTCCAATCCATCTCGAATGTGACCAATAGCATTTCTTCCCTCCATCGATCCCGTAGTGCCTTTGCCCTCAGCCAATGGACTCGGTAAACTTGGCATGGGTCCAGTCAGGTAACCGCGGGATATGACATGCAAGCGGGAACTCACATTCTTCATTCCACGATTGATCAGGACCCCCGAGGTCGACTTCAACAGACCAAAACCAAGCCAAAGATTCATTTCGTTGACCTCGGGCATTTGGGTCGCCCACTGCAGTGCTGATTTTGAGTTGCTCGCGAAGCAGGGGTTTGTATTTCTGAAGCTGGTCTTGCCCCGGCTCAAGTTTCATCATTTGCTTCCTTGTCTTTGTATATATGCTGGCATGGAGGGAGACTGCCTGCTGCACCGACGTCACCTGGGACCAAGCTCGAGTTTTCAGGGCCTGGGAATTGGCCTGCCTAACGGTTGTTCGGAACAGGATGGCCTTGTTGCAAAGGTAAATGCGGAGATTGTGAAGGGCATCATTGGCCTGCCCTTCACGAAGCGACATCTCCAGGGGAATCAGATCCTCTGCCATGCATCGTCTGCATCTATCAACCCCCAGGTTTGATGGCAATGGGATTACAGTTAGCTCGGGAGAGTTTGTCCATGTGTGAGATGTCTCTGTGAAATCCGCCGGCTCATCATCGAGATCATCTAGAATGTCTACGTCCAAGTCTTCAGGTTCATCATCTGCATCAAATCCCTCCCCGAGATGTGTTAGAGCAGACCGAGCAAATCCATCTATCTGGCCTTGGAGCCGATCTCTTTGACGGGCGATGTCTAATCTCTGTGTCTCGGTGGATCTTCTTCCGATCCTTCGGACCTCGATGAGCAATGCAATCTGAGCCTCTTCAATTGCTAACCCTGTTGATATCCATGTCGCCACAGATCTGCGAGAGGGTGCTGCATTGCGGGCGTTACCCTCCTCTAACAATCTAAGCTCGATCTCCTTTTTGCTAGGTGCTGAGTGCAATATTAATTCAGTCCTCGACGGAGACAATGGAACTCAATGTACCCTTTTTGATATTGATCTCATATTCATCCATGGCTGAAGGATCATTCAATCTGCTTGACTGAGCTATCCTCTCCCTGGCTAACCATTCTGTCTTCAAATGTGAGGGTGCTGCTTCATCGAGTCTGTCGAATGCCTTTCCACTTTCTAAGATACCATTCCTAGCCAGTTTGTATTTCCGGCATAGAGTCCTTTTCATGCGAATCATCTTGCAGAAATTGGAGTCATTCATCTGATAATCAAGGCATTCCTTTCGGTGGGGAGATGACATTCCCCGAGCAGCAGGGGAGATCAAATTGAGCCGTGCCCATAGCGTCTCCATGATCTCTCCATCGATCCGACCAATGCCTTCAATAAAGTTAGAAGCATATCGGACATAGCAGCTGTCCTGATGGCCATGAACGTGCCACAACCCAATTCCGGGAATGATGGTTAGTTGTGGTGCCATTTCTAGAAATCGACTTCGATCCACCCGAACCCGAAAGTGTTTGTTGTATTGACAATTAATATCATAGAAGGTGACAGCCCTGGTGATGCCTTCCATGTTGTGCCGGGAAGCCTCGCAAAGGGCATAGTCCATGTTCATTTGTCTGCAAGTGACCCATGGTTAACTCGTGAATGGGGAATGGTGGATGTGGCTTGCCTTTCGCCTTTCTGAAAATCCACCATGGAGTGAGGGACAAAGCAACCGTGTCTGGCACAGGCAACTCCCCCGATACCGGTGGACTCCAGCTTGTGCCGAGCAGCATTAGCTTGATTTACTGCCCGGTGATTGTTGCAGCTTGATTTTTCCCACTGTGTCAGCAGCCTCTGCCAGGTGCATTTTATACCTGTCCTTTCCTACCATGAATCCAAGCCCATCGGACAGCCAAACTTCATCGAATGGCTTAATGGGATGCAGATGTTCGGCTTTGAAATTTCCGTCCATCACAAATGACCGGGTGTATTTCCAGCTTGGATCCCTAGTATTATTATGGAGGCCACATAGGTTGAGAATAGGACTCACTCATCAAGAGATTCATCCTCTGACAACAGCACATTAATCCCAGGCTGAGGACATGCCGGGCAAAATAATGCAAGTTCTCCTGTGCTCGGGTTATCAGAACGATGGCCAAAGCCATGCCATTTCATTGTCTTCAACTGCCTCCACTGTCGAGCGACCCTCATGAGCTCTCTGTATCGGTCCTTGCAATGTGCTTTGTCAATATGATGTCCAGTAGATCATGAGGGTAAGGCATTACCGGAACAAGGTGTGGAAACATGCTGGAGGTCATTCGCCGGAGCTTGCTGTAATAGTTCATCGCCGAGGTGCCGCATTCAAGGCTGTCAAGTAGAAAATCATTGAGCACTCTGAAGGTGAACACAGTCTTTGGCCTGTTAAAAGATGCAGGGAAAAATCCGTGTCGAAACATTTGAATGTCCGGACTCATGGCATTCGGACATTCACAGCATCGAACCTCCAGGCGATGAACTCCGGACTTGTCCACGATGACCATGGTGTTTTCCTTTGGCTGGAACTCGGGTCCGGACACAAATGGCAGATCTTCAGGCTCGAGCAGGTCTTCGGGTTCATCTTCTTCAAACAAATTCCACCGATCGGTGACCGCCGGACATTGTTTGCCATCATGGCCAAGGTATATAATGAGTCCCACATGAGCTAGACAACTCCGCTCGAAGAATCGCCCATTCCATTGACTGATCCAGTGGAAAGGATTGCTACGATGTTGACTCCTGCAACAGCCCGTGCAATAAAGTGGCTCGCCAAGACAATCTTGACATTTGTACACCCCATCCTGTTGGCAGATGATGCATCTCCTGTCTTCGGGTGGAGCTTCTCGATCGAGGAGGTGATGTAGATATGATTCCTGCCTTGGCAGCCATTGCCTGAGGTAGTCATTTTGACTCTGTATTTTGAATGCTTAGCCATAGTTTGAATGACACTCCAACATTGTACATGAACTTGCCATGGTTTTTGGGAGTTGCAATGGCTCAAATGAGCCTTGGTCCTGCTCGTAAGTATTGTCAGGAAAGTCTTCCCAAGGAGGCGGTGCCTCAACAGGCTGAATTGTTGGTGATTCCGGGGGAGAGTTAGGCATGGACCTGTAGGCATGTCGCCTCGTGCTTGCAAGTGGGACCTTGACCCAAGTCTTCCTACCTTTGCTGCCCCTTGCTTCCACCCTGTGAGATTTTTGCACTGGGGTGCATCTACCTATCTTCATCTTGTTTATTAATGTTGCAAGCAAGGCATCAGCTCAGGTGTAATGAATTGTTATTGCAATATGATGCGGTGCAGTCCTGTTGGCTTATTACAAATTCATTTCCATTAATGGCTCAGGGTCCAATATGGGCCGATTAACCTATCATTAGGCTTTGCTCAAAGTTCAACTTCGCACAATTCATTAATACTTTCACCTTGAAAATCCTTAGCCATTTCTGCATTCTGATTCACTATGGCAAGAACAGGTCATTCCACCAACACGACTTCCGGAAGACACAGGATGCGTCAACCACAGTCTCAGAAGCTCACGGACAAGGAGATTTTGGAGTTGAAGAACTACCTTCCTGAGTGGACTGCTGCCAAAAGGAGTGAGAAGCGAGCGATTTTCACTGCCATAGCAAGGGCGGCCAGGTTGTTTGCTCCGAAGTTGGACCAAAAACAATGGAAAAAGAGGAAGCAGGTGAGGCTTCTTTGTTGCGTTGAAAAACTAAATTTTTAATGTCACATTCTTTCATCAACTCTTAGGTGTACAAGACTTGGTTGTTCAACAACAAGAAAAAGAAGGAAAGGAAGGACATGATCAAGTATGGGAGGAAATGGACTCCCAGGATGGTGGTCTACCAGCAAAAACGCGAAGAGGTGCTGAAGAGGATTGAGGACGAGTCCGGGGTAAAGCCAGGAGATCCTTGTATGTTCAAACATTATCAGGCGGCGGTGAAGAGAGTCATGGCTGAATTGGACGACGACGAGTTGGAGAAGGCTAAAGAAACAGCCGAAGAGTGGTCCAACAACTGTCCGCCTCCAGAGATACAAGCACAAGTCGCTCGTAAGAAGGGTCCGGCATATATGGAGCACTTTTCGAACGAGATGTGGAGGCAATGTGGGATGAGAGTGTTTGTGATGTCGGCTTGGAAGAATGAAAAGGGCGAGGTGCTGTTCGGGATGTGAGTACATTTATCCATCGACGGAGATTTTTCGTCTCAAAATATTCATGCAGGCATGATGATAATGAGGCCTTAGGAGATGGGGACAGCTTCATGAAGACGAAGGACTGGGAGGACATTGAGCCAGTGTGGCAGGAGTACGCGCAGGAACAGTTCGGTGAGTGTGTGAACCATGTATACCAGATTGAACATATTGAGCATCACAATGATAGGCGCCGGGGCACGGGATGGAGGACGTCAGGTCAAGGGAGGTCGAAAACGAATTCGAAAACCAGCCTTCGAACTCGAAATGGACGGGGAGGGTATGCCACTCCTTCCGGACATCACCGACACCAAACTTGAGGAGAAGAAGGCCATAGTAAGGGCCTTTCTTACATCGCACTATCGTGAGTTTGTCGTCGCATCACCTGACAAATTGTTCAATGCATGGACAAAGGGATATGCTCCGGGAAGGACAAGGCGGTTGTGCCATGGAGTGCCATTGTACAAAGTCAGGATGACTTCGTGGCCCGGACGTATCTTCCGGCGGATGTTGACTTGAAGGAACCTTCGAAGCTGCAAATTTGGGACACCACTACCTTGCTCCAGTTTTGGCTCGCTCGGCAAGAAACAGGCGAAGGGCCCACATTTCTGTTCAAAGCATGGAAGAACAAAGATGGGGACATGGTACCATCTGTCATATCTGGCAACTCGCCCTCTCCTCAGACTCGTATAGTGAGAAGGCAACAGAGGGTTACCATCCGAAGGCCTCGGGAGTCATCGACAGAAGCCGAGAGTGATAAGGAGAGTGCCACTCATCATACGGAGCATAATGTGGATGATGACCTGGCTGACGGGAGACCTCCGCTGAAGAAGCCCAGGACGGGAGGTCCTACACCCAGAGGGCCGGCAGTCCCACGTCCAATTCCAAAGCCTCGCCCGGCCAAGCCGGCCAAAAAAGGTGCATTACTGACATCACGATTGGGAGACCTCCTCGCTGGGTTAACTGACAACGCGACGGGCGAGGTTAGAGATGATGTCGAAATGGAAGAGAGTATCACACCGCCGGCACAGAAAAGGAGGAGGGGCACTCGAGTCACTGTTGAACCATCCACGAGGACGACCCGGAGTAAGTTGCAAATGCCAGTAGACAGTACACCTAGAGTAACCAGAGCACGGGGACGCACTTAATGTACATATATCTTCCTGCCCTCATGTGTAATGTCATAAGTGCTATTATGTATATGTCAAAGTACTAACAAACAAATTATAATTGCCAAATGCCAAATCTCGAGTACCAAGGCCCGAGTACCGAACCCTGAATACCGAAGCCCGAACGCCGGTCACCGAGTACCAAGGCCGAGTACCGAACACCGAGTACCGAGCCCCGAGGCCCGAGTTCCGAGGCCCGAGTTCCGAGGCCCGAGTTCCGAGGCCCGAGTTCCGAGGCCCGAGTCCGAGGCCCGAGTTCCGAGGCCCGAGTTCCGAGGCCCGAGTTCCGAGGCCCGAGTTCCGAGGCCCGAGTTCCGAGGCCCGAGTTCCGAGGCCCGAGTTCCGAGGCCCGAGTTCCGAGGCCCGAGTTCCGAGGCCCGAGTTCCGAGGCCCGAGTTCCGAGGCCCGAGTTCCGAGGCCCGAGTTCCGAGGCCGAGTTCCGAGGCCCGAGTTCCGAGGCCCGAGTTCCGAGGCCCGAGTTCCGAGGCCCGAGTTCTGAGCACCGACTACCAAGCACCGAC